AAAAAAAAAAAAAAAAAAGAGCTGCGAAACAATGAAAAGAACCGAAAAAATGCTGCAAAAAAAATTGGAAAAACTTTGAGGCGGGAACAGAGTAATACATTACGTCAGAGAAGGTCGACTATGCTAATAGTTAATTAAAGGGAAAATCTAATCAAAATTTAGTACTAAAAGGCTTACTTTAGCTAGAATCTGACGAACTGTTTCATTTAAACCATCAACAGTTTTGCGCAAACTAAGGTTATCTTTTTTCACTTTTTCAATCTCATCTTTCAGTTGAATAATTTCCGCCTCAAGTGAACTTTTGTCACCTACAATAAGTGGTACTAAACAAGCAATATTGGAAATCAAAAGATACATAATTCCAAATAGCAAAGTTCACGTAACATGGGTTCACCTCTTTGAGCTCTCAGCTATTTGAATACGTAAAAATTTGGTTTCCAAAGTAAATTAAGAGTTGAAATAATGTACGGCAAAAAGAATCAACCTGATTCACCGTGGAGAGCATTCTGCACTGTTTTTTTAGCCTTTGAAATAGCCGCTTCCAGACCATCCGGTTGGCCTTTATGAAATTCTTTACCGACCTTTTCTTTTTTGCCTTTTTTCTGCTCTTTCGCGCCATGATCTTTAGCATGCGTATCTGTACACAGAAAAAAATCTGTTCTTCAGAAAGCAACACCATCATAAAAACCACAAAGTTATAAAAAAACTGTAGCCAAAAATTAAAAAATAAAAATTTAAAAGCCTCACCTACCTTTGCTTGACGATGGGCCCACGTTTGAGCAATCACTGTAAACAATTTGATCACCAAAGAAGAGGTGTTCTGCGACCCTCAAAGGCAGAGAGGATTCTAAAAGTGGAGAAACTTCGCAGAGCAGCGATTCAACCGTTGTCATTCCTGCAGTTACTGTCTAGAAATAAAACCTGAATAATTAAAAGCTTAGGAACTTTTACTCGATATAGCTGAAGAACTGAAATAAATTTGCTGGAGTGGGACAAAGTGGGACGCGTAAAAAAGCGCGCACAGAGCAAAAGTCCTTGAAGACTCTAAAACAACTTGTTCTGCTTTGTCAAGGCAAACTTTTACTTTAGCGGACTTTGAAAGATCGTACGCGAATATAGAAAAAAAAAAGCCGGTGAGCACTATTCCTTTTTATGGACACCGGTAAAACGACATTACGAAGAAGCCAGGAGCACCGGTTACCCCGTACACAATTTCAGTCCATAGACCCAAACTTAACGAATCTATTTCAAGCTGAGAGGTTATTCGGGATGAACTCTGAAGTAAAACTGCAAAACAAAAATTTCAGAGAGCAAACAATCGTTTTGAAAACCCGAATTTTCAATCTGTTCGAAGATAACAACTCTATATTAAAAACTTATTGAGACCGGCACTTTAGGAGCGCAGTAGTTCAGTAAGCGGTATAAAGGGAAGTTACGTCTTCTGTTATGCATGGATGAAGAAGGAAGTTTTCACATAAGATTGTTTTTAGCTGGTATTAGTTTTAGGTAAATTTGCTTTCACTTAAATTATAAAAGTGACATGCTTTTTATTTTTAACTTTGTTTCCAGTAATTTAATGTCTTCAAAGCTTGTTGTGAGTTTTGACTGTTATTGTTATTAAAAAGTTTAATTCTGTCATAAGTGATTAAGCTTGACTGCTTACTGCAAAGATCTTCTTTTACGATGAATACTTACAGTTTGCAAATCTGTTTGTCAATTACATATAACTTTTTTCGTAAACTGCATTAATAATCCTCTTCGTTACAGTAATTGCAATCTTAACTAAACCCTGATTGAACAGTGATAGAAAATATTTCAAGGATTCCATATGTGGAATCCTTGAAATATTTGGTCCAAGGACCAAAAATGTTTCAAATGTTTCAGGATGACTTTTTTTGAGCTTTTTTTAAAACAAATTTTGTGGCGCTCTTGTAGCTTTACACGAACACTATTTTTTATAAGCTTTTAAGAATCTGAAAGGACTACTAAATGCTGAAGTGACAGGCAGTCCTGCGAACCTTTCTACTTCTCAAAAGATTCTTAAGACTTCACCTATTATTTCAATTTTAGTTATTGAAAGAATAAAAATTTTGTTGATCAGTACAGTAGGAGCAATGCTAATAAAGTTTACGAGACAGTAAGCGTAATTATTTGCTCTACATATCACCACTGTAGAGAAGCTCGATAGCTTAAAGAAGGCCAGTACGGACAAAATCAGCAAGAAATATTGCATAGGGAAAAAATGTGACCATCCTCTCAAAATAAATTAATTTTATTAGTGTCATCCTCGCACAAATAATTTAGTAAATGACCAAGACTGATGACTTTTTTTCAACTTTTCACCAATTCTTATGATTTCCAACCTTTATTGTTTTTTCTGATTATTAGTTTCAGTTGCTCCTTTGTTCTGATTTGTTATCGATCCTTGTTGTGCATCACTTTGGTTAACATCTGCATGGGCCATTGTCAGGTTTGGTCTGTTAAGATCGCTATTGAGAATATTGTCATTAATTAGATTCCTTGAACGAAAATGGGCTCGATTCCTTTCTTGTTCAGCAGAAGGTGGCTCCTCTGGAACAGGATCAAGCGCCTGACGTTGACGAGTTCCTGGAACATAATATAACTGGTAACAGAAAAATTCAGGTTTTAGCAAGATAAAATATCAATACCTTCTTCCAGTTGGAAAGTAGCGTTGTATTGTTCAACTGGCCTCAACTGAATGTTTCTTCGTCTACGAAAAAGTTGCGTTGGGTTTACAGAAAAATTATTCGTTATTTTTTAAAACAAATAAAAATCTTTGATTTATTATGCTCTGAATTTATGCAGCATCGAGGGAACAAACCTTGCTGATAGCTCTCTGACAACGTTTCCTAACATCCGGAATTTGGTACTGCCCCTTGTTGGTGTTTTTGGTTTTTTTTCACTACCCTCGAGTCGGTTAACAACAACCATTTCAGGTTCTTCCTTTTTTTCCTTCGCGCTAAATATCAATAAGAAATACATATATGGCAATTAAAATAAATGCAAAATTTTGAAAAAACTATTGAGACCCATGTATTTTGCTATTATTTTATTTTTATTCCTTTCAAGTGAGGATTAAAGCAGCTAGAAAACAATGTAAACTGGAAGTTTTTTACCCAGCTGCTCTTGCTGCGGAGCCGATCAGAGGATGAACCGGTATTGAGGCTGATTCTTCAGAATAAATAGCGTCCACATTTTTCTTATACCAGAACTGATCTTTTTGAAGAGGCGGTACATCGTCATGAGCATCGTCGACAATGCAAAGACAAGTCTAAATAGTTGATTAGTTTAGCAACGAAACGTCTTAACCGTAAAAACTTCATTTTTGGTTCTGTTTGAGTAAATGCAAAAGAAGAAAATAGCTTGTTGATGACAAGAGTACTTACAGCAAAGTTTTTATCAATTAAAAAGTTGCATTCAAAATCATCATCATCTTCTCCAAATGGATTTAATAAACCTTCTGCTACTTTCATCCAGCCAACAAAGAATAAATATTGAAGTATAGTCATATATGGTACAAAAAAGTCCATCTATAAAATTGCATACAGCATTTTATTAATAACAGTCA